GTGTTTCACATCGAGTTAATAATGATTAATTTAACGAAAAACATCCACATGGGATTTGGTAACACTCGGAATTCAATTTCTAACTAATTGTAAGTGTGGGAACAAATCGGAACGCACGATGGCAATAAAATTAATGCCCGATAATTTTATGCTAATTACTTCATTTAAGCATCGTGCGGGCAAATGATTATTGCGCTTTCCTCGCTGGTAACGCGCAACTAACTTCCACACACACGCATTACACATTGATGATGTCCGCATCGTCATCAGTAGTCTTCGTTTTACGACATCGCCAATAATTAGAAATTGATTACATGTGCACATTTACAAATGAGGTGTGAAGTTATGCATCGAAATTTATATTCCATGTACAGGAAGAAAAAAATTAATTAAAACCCGTATCGCATTGTGAGGTGGATTTTTTTCCGAGCAGATGTTCAAATTGAATGCGCGTTTAGCATAATGATATAGAAGTTTCACTAATGTGCGCGCCTGTCATCGAGCAGTGCACTCTTTTGTGTCAGAAGAAGCTAAACTCCAGTAGCATCTCGGCCATCAGCATCGAACAAGGACGCGTTGAAACGTTTTTTTTTTTCTTCTTCGGCTTGTACTCTGCTCGCTCTGCGGCTACTGGACTTTACAAATTACAATCGTCCGCGCTAAGAACACGCCACTTCTTAGATAGTGAACTCTTCGGCGTGGTGAGGAAAGAAAGACGAACGAAACGGTGACGGCTTTATAAGTAATCGACGCGCGCTCTGGCTCTCTGGCTCGGTTGGTCCTTCGAATCCGGTTCTGTTGGCGATTTTCGCCGAGATGAAAGTATGTGTGATGCGCGAGGATGCGCGCGACTTTTGTTGCCGGCGTGAGTTTTCTTTCGAGCGTCACGAAGCGATGAATTACTTTATTGTCATCCACCACGCCGCTCGGCGGTAATATTATAAACCCATTTCCGTTTCGCATTGTTTAGTTTATCGGACAATTGCTGGTTTACTCAGCTGGTGTTTGCTTTAATTAGTGGCAACGTGACGCGACGATTTTCATTCACGACGAGCACATCTCTTACTCGTTATTATATTTCATACCCCGGGACATGATTCGTCGTCGTCGTCGTCCTGCTTGATCTTTCGCATGTGGTTGTTGTGTTTTTTCTCGCTCTTTTTGCTTCTTTTGCGTGGTGTTTACTCGGAGTGACAGCGTGTGCGTTGCTGAGAGAAGAGCGCAACGCGCAGCGATGACGAACGACATCGTCGACGTATCAAAATGTTATTATATTATAATACACTTTTTATTGTCGCAGTGCCGGTCGGCGCGGTGTGGAATTTCTACGGGAACATTAAAATTCTTGTAATGTAATTTGTAATTATTTGGACGTTGTCGGACGGAAATTACTCGCCAACAAAGAGATGCAGGACTACACCACACGTATTATTGATGAAACCGCGATCAATTTTCGCTTTTTATCCGAGCGCTACACGTATACACGACTAACAAGTGTAGTATACGCTCTGTGTGTGATTACGCCGTTTGTGTTTGTTGCGAATGGGAAGAGGTCTAACGCGGCGGCGCTCTTGGCCATCATGATCGTGAGCTTTGAAAAGTACACACGATTGCGGCGCGCACAAAATCATGATTACTAATAAATTAAAGGCATTTAGATTCGAGCACACGAGAACAACACAACACGATGCTCGTTTTAATATTAATTATGTTTATCGCCCGGGTGTAATTAATCAACTTTCTCTCAACCTACAAAATCAGTACCTAATTGATTTACATTCACTTTATTTGGTTCAAAACACATTCCAAATTATTTCTATTATATTTTTTAAATGTTCCAGGATTGTTTTATGTTGAGGGAGAGAAAACTTGGTGACTTTTTAGTCGGTTGTCATCGGATGAGTTACCGCGACCGGCTGGAAAATTTATCGACTTTGTGAAACAATATAAAATATTTTTCGAAAATATTTGTCGGCCGTGTATCATTGCGCCTTCTTTACTCTGCAAGAATGCAGTCGCACAAGCTTTAACTTTCGGGGACCTCTCTGATTTCTTTCGATTCCCCATTTCAGCTTCGTACATATTTATAAATCTCTGCTTTGTTGAGCTTTTGTGATTTGTGCATTTCGTTCGGATCTTCGATTCTTTAATCGATAATTTTAAAACTTTTTTTCACTTTTATTGTGCTAAAGAATGCGTTAATCAAGCGTGTGTTTGGCTACGACTGCGCTCGGCGGTAATTAAAACGATCGGTATTCACAATCGGATGGTTTTTCGTTGGAATCCCTGTGACTTGTGTTTTGGGACGTCGGGATTTATTCATTTAATATTTAAATGAGCATCGGACGCTCGTGCTCGAATAAATCTGTCTTTTGTCGAACAACAAAACCCATGTCCGAGTCTGGTCGGGTTTAAAATTTTTTGAATATTCATCAACTAATTACTTTCTTCCTGCTTTTTATATAATTAAAATTACAAGAGGAGCAAAAATATATCGCTTTAAGGTTATTAATAATGCTGGAATGCAGGCGTAATTTTTCAAACTGCTACTCAGGCATTTATTTACATTATTTACATAAACAATTAAGCACCTGTTTTAAAAATTACCAGAGATCAATCATAACTTGTGCTTCAACTTTTCAAACACTCTTCAATACAGAACACAAGTGTTTAAATAGTGTTTAAATGTTTGCTAATAGCATAATTATTTATTTTAATTTTTTGATAATATTCATTTTTTATTGCTTTCTTATCAATTGAAATAGTTTTTAATTAAAAATATAGGTTTTGTGTGTTTTGTGGCAACACCCTGTATATTGTTAATAGCTTATTTGACTTGTGTACACTCTTGGCCAAACCCGGCTACCGTACAATACTCGTTTGCGCGCTCGTCTTCACACTCGATTCGATAAGTTGCTACTTGTTCGGCTGCCTCTTCTTCATCAACCATCGACGTCTCTCCATCATCTCCATCTTCATTTTCATCCGGACTGTGCACGCACACGCAGAAATAAACGAGCGTCCACGCGTTAAGTGAATAAATGTTTTCGTTGGCGAGCGTGGTTCTTCTACACGCGTCGTAGACGTCTGAAGAGTCGGGAGTTGACTCGAGGGTCAACTCATCAAACTTTGGGTTGGCTACTACCAACACGCCATTAACATAAATAATGAGCGGTTAATTAAAAATAATATTTAGAAGGCGGAGGAGGTCTACTACCTACGTACCCATGATATTTACCACAAAAACTCTGCTGGTACCAAACGGTAGTTGTGTTTTTAACACCTATTATATATTTCGTAGATGCGTTCGTTGCTGCTGGGTTGCTGGATGTGGTCGTCATCATTTTTCTTCTTTTCGCATTCCAGCTTCGAACATTGCTTGTGGGTGCACCTGTTTGAGATTGTAGCTGGTTCGTGGCTTCTGGCATCCTCATAATCCGTCAGTCATTCATGGTTGTTCATTATGAAGAAAATTAGAATCTCAGAATGAAATCTATTAGATACAGTTGTCGAAACGAAACTGCATCATTTGAATCGAATGATTCATCCGCTGATGCCTGATGGATGTGGTATTTATTCGTTTGAGGCGATGTTCACTTTGTTTCAATTTTCTTTCCTTTACAGTCATCGAGTATTTCCGGTGCACTTTTCCGGGTTTTACGCTGCAGTTTTGCCGACGTTTTGCTTTACATGAAAATCCATATTGTAATGGTCCACTAAAGTTATATAGTCGATTTGAGCGTCGTTCAAATACAATAAATCGAGTTTATGTCGCGCCATAATTCTATGACTTTCCTCCCGCACGCCGGAAACGTGTAAAATCCCTTGAAATACAAAATTTGACTTGAAAGCACAACTTATACGCTTTGCATTCGAAAATTTCAAATTTATTTATTGATTGTTTCACTACAAGACATTAAAAAATTAAAAACTCGGCTGGAATTTTTATGGCGTCGAAGCGACACCATCGGCAATGGCGGCGCGCGCGCTCATTCCGCGCATGCCATCACCATCAGAGTCGCCATCAAAACTCACCAATGATTTTTTCATGTAACGTGCGTCTGTTGTGCCCAATGTTTTCGCTTTCAAGGTCGTAGCTGCAACTGCAGCTCCGAAATTGTTTTGTCTTCTGTAGTTTACTACCGGACTGCAGGCGGACTGCTACTGGGCTCGAGGGGTCGAAAGCTCAAAACTTTTGCAGAGTGACGTGTCTCGCCTGATTATTGTTGATGTTATGTCCGAAGGTAAAAAGCTAACCGAAAGCAAGGGCCCAAGTTCGAAGTTAATGTGGAACTGTTACAAAATGCGCTTTTTGTGTTGTCGTCACAAAAACTTGGATAAAAGGGTTTACGACTTGTGGATGCGCAGAAGAAGACATTAGAGACGGGCGCATCAAAAAAATCCTCAACCTGCTGTTGCGGAATACTGATTCACACAGCATCACTTTGAATTATTTTTGTTTTATTGTTGCAATTTCACCTAGATGGCGTTACTACTAGATGATACACACTTGGTTATGTTGTTCGCTTTTCTGTTTGTAGTTATTATAACTTGCTTTCGCTCGGATCTGAGTGTGCATATTTGCATATTTATTTCCTTGGAGGTTTCAGCGCTGCCGGGCGCGCGCGCGCATTATGCGCTACACTTTATCATAAAACTTTTTTAATTACGTTATAAATGCACACGCATTCAAGTGCGAATGTGAAACTAAAAACGCTTTGTTTTATTATGCCCTCCGATGAATGAATAATCATGTACGTACCGCACCACGGGCGCGAATTCCTGCGCTCGCGCAGGCGAAGAAGCTCGCGAGGTATTTGTATAAATATTCATAAGCTTTTGACGAGCACCTCGAGCTTGACAGCGACGTACTGCGCGCCCACGAGCGCATTGTATCATTAATATGATGATTTTTAAATAGTTGCGCATAGTTTTTTACTGATTAATAGCTATTTGACACCAGAGGGCGTTAGTTTTATACGGTGTTAATTTGCTTGCAGTGGTATCAGTGTAATCTCACGTCGATGCCGGAAGAATTGCAGGAGAAATTCGTGCAACTCGAAGCGGATAATGACACGCTGGTTTTTCTCGAGCAGAGCGAGGATAAGTCGGACTGGATCTTCACGCAGATTTGGCACTCGTTGGCCAAGGCGGTGCTCAGCCTCTTCATGACGCAGACTTCTATTAATGGGTAAGTTTTTATCTTTCTTATTATTATTATTATTACGATTATTTTGTATCCCGCGTATTTTTCTCTTCGCCGAGTTGTTTTGGTTTTGCTCCCGCGCGCTGACGTTGTTTCTTGCGCTGCGCTCGTCCGGATGATGCTGTGCCGTGTCGCCGCTGGTTCTTTCATGTGTCGTTCGCGCTGTCACTCGGATGCGAGCATAACTAATTATATAATTACGTTTTTCGTGCCCGCGCGCGGCTTCTGCTTGCGCCCGGCCGGTCGCAGTCATTAGGAGCGGATTGCGCGCTGCTGCGCTATATAAAAACTTATTATGCGATAATTATTATTAGTGCGCGAGCCGAGAATGAGTGTCGACGAGAGCTGGGAGACGCGCGACGCATCAGGAAGCTGTAATTATGAAAAATTACGTTTAATAACTGCGCGCGGAGAGACTTTCATTCAAGGCGTACGTATTGTGACTGACCGAGGCCCCTCTGACGCTTATTATATTATTATTCATACGTGCGCGTATTATGATATGGAGAGAAAAAAATTGTAATCATTATTATGCCGAGACACCGGGAGAAATTCCGTCGCATCGCGCGCTCATTATCATTAATCGATTCTCGAAGAATTTTCTCTCCGCGCGCTGCCGGAACAATGACGGCGTGGACGGCGTGAAACAACAAGCCGCTGTGCTGTGTGACTAGACAATATCTTTAGTTTGCTGGCTACTGTTTCGGTTTACCGTAATTACTTGATTAGACTTGTGTGCCTGAGTCAATATAAGATTCCAGCAATCGATCACAAATATTGGTGACTGCCGGCGCGTAAAACTATAACATAATCTTGTGGATAATAGCTTGATTTACTATTGGTTTTCGTTCGGTGTGAGACTCTGTCGAGTGGTGCGTTTAAGAGGTTCGACCGCAAATATGTTTTTCTTTTCGCCGCGAGTGATTCGGTGCTGCGGTGCTGATGATGTGGTAGTTCACGCGTCCGGTCTAGGATTGAATCTTGGCGATCTCTATCATCTCCACGTCATAAATCACGCGGCGTAATTGCGCCCAGTGCCATTCATTGTGCTCGTCTCAGATATTCATTCAAGAAATTATTATTTCAACTAGGTCTACAATACGTTCAAAAATATATTAACTTTTTTAAATTTTACTTTAAACATACTTTGAAGATTGTTGTTCGATAATATTCAATTTTTTATGAACATATTGTATGTCAGTGATAACACAATACTGGAAGGAGAATAATTGATTAATGCCCTACACACTTAGACGTTCCTGAGAGCAGCACGGAAGAATTATTATCCATTTATATTCATAATTCTGTCTGCAGTGCACCACACCATATGCCACGCGTGTTAGACTTGTTGGACTTTGATTTTTCTTGCCCGACATGCAGTCGTCACTCTCGGCCAACGCAATTTGCAAGTTGTACTTCAATTATCATACATTACGACCGCATTAAAATTGTGTTCGTCGCTCTAGTCCGCACAGTGCCACACTATTTAAATTCTGCTTCTATAAAAGAAATAATCGAAAAAACAAAATCAGGTTTTTGAAATTTTTACTTTTTTGCCCGCTTTTGCGCGCAGTGTATAATTGGAATTGGAAATGAAGGCGCGCGTTTGTGACCGTCTTCAAAACGCGTCTTTTGTCCTGTTAGTTATTGTTGGTCGCGCGGTGATTAATAGCTGGAATTAATTCGGCCGATTTCGCGTCGTTTTATTTTGCGGGCTATTGTCGGAGCGGCAACACTCATTATGTGTCGACCGGTCTGCTGCTGCTTGCGGCCCGGTGGTTTAGTAGTTTGCCAAAAAAGGCACTAAATTTTGAATGGACTATACGTCGACAAAATACGAAATAAGCTTGCAAACAAGCATCACCAGCACACCGAAAGCGATGAAGAAAAAAACTGCAAGCTGGAACGTGCATAATGCTTAAATAATTGATGCGTCCTTCTTGAATTTGAACTTGATTAGTTTAAGCTTCATTAATTTTTAAGCTTTAAGTGTTCGCATCTCACTCTGGTTGACTCGCATGTTTTCCGTCTGTATGTTGTGTTGATATTGACGATGAAAGCGCGGCGCGGTGATGATAAAAAAATTGTAATTACCGCGTGCGTAGGATAATTTCCTGTGCTTCAATTACGCGCCACGGCCGCGCGCGCTCGCCACCAGAATTAAAGAAGAGTTAATTAATAATAAACTCGGTTATAATGATATGTCAGGATTGATGCTACTGTGCGCGGCTCGCCAGCGCAGAGCCGATGGAGAAGAAAAGTACAAAGTCACAAAATTTCATTAACGTCGCGTTGCGCGTTCTTCACGCTCTCATCTTGCGCGCGAAGTGTGAAGAGACGCAGGTAAGAGAGTCTGGTCGGGAGTGGCCAGCAGCTACCGGGGACCGTCATTATTATCGAGAAGTTAATTTACTTTTTATTCAATACGCGGCACACCGGCCACGGTGCACCACAATGGTGCGAGGGTAATTTTCATGGAATTTTTTCATTTTTTTATTTCGTACCGAGTGGTAATCAAAAATGCCAAAAAGTCATATACAAATAATCAGAGAAAAAATAACAAAATAAAATCAAATCATTACTGATTTTTAATTAGATTGTTGAAGTGAGCGTAACTTGTGAATAGGATTTCATTCATGAAACGCATCGTTGTACGCATGCACGGTAGCTCTGTGCTTTTCTCCTCTGTTATTCCCTTCTTCAGGCTGAAGACTTGTAGACTTGGTTGCTGTGGCTGCTGTTGCTGTTCAGTTCTGTTCTCTTCTCTTCTCGGCTCGGTCATCGGGCATATGTTTGTAATTATAATTATAACTCATGCCACACGGTAATGCGCTTATGATTGCACGTTAAAAAGCGTACAAAACACGTCTTCCTGCTTTTTTAAATTGTCATTCTTTAATAATTTTATAATGACGATGCCTCCGCCGCGCCGAGGCGTCATCGTGCGCGCTGCTCAGCTCTTTGGAATTTCAAACATTACAACAAAATTCCAATAAGTACCTGCAGAGTACGAATATTTATGCATATAATAATCGTAAATTTTAATATTTCGCCAAAGCGACTTTAAAAAATTAATTTACGCAGACGCGCTTAACACTGCTTAACACTCTCGCCGCGTTTTTTTAACGCCCGTGTGCGAATTGCGCCTGCGTAAAATACGACTATATTGTATAATGTAACAATTTTCATCGCGGCGAATTGCCGCTCGTAAAACGTACACGCGGCTAATTACAACCACCGTAATTAAACGTTATAAATATGTTGCACGGAACGCACACAAAAAACTTGCGATAAAATGCAGCATATTATACAGCTTGTTACGCTAAAAATTAAATAAACCTAATAATTGCGTTTTACACTCACAGATGGCGTAGTGAGTGAGAAATATTTTTCGTATTTATTTCGCAAGCTTGTAAGAAGTCGAGACGAGATGATGATGACTCGCAACGGGTCCAGCGTGCCGGCTTTCAACTCGCATTAAATTATTATCAATGTCTGTTGTGCGATGCGCGGTTATTTTAATATTGTGCGAAAGAAATTACATCGTCGATCGTCGGAAAATAAAATAAAAGCAGCGCTACCGTGTTTGCTCACGCCTCAAAAACTTATCTTCATCATACACTGTGTTTACATTTTTTAAATTGCACAACAATTGTTACTTGCAATATGTATTTCATTAAATAAAAGTATTCCCATCATTTTGTTTTTCTTTAAACACAGTGTATGTTAATGTTGAGGTTGGGTTTTCAATCCGAAGGCCTAATGATGATACAATTTTTCAAATTATGTCTCCATATAAGTGCTCTTCGTCTTCAGCGCGCACAGATGTATGAAATTATTTTTTACCGCGGCGTTACCAAATAAATAAAAGAATCGAAGCAAAAAAAAAGTTTCATTCATATAATCAAGCGGACGAGCGCGTTAGGTAGCCGCTACCGCTCTTCGCAGTTCGAGCAAGTCTTCAAGATTCATCATATTCAAGCCTTATTATATTATTCTAGTTATTATTTCTTTAGCGCACAATGTTTTTTACTTCGTTTTTGGTTTTGTCTCGTTGTTCTGTGCCTTATTTAACTTTTTGTGATTCATTCAGAATTCTGTTTCTCGAGTACACGCGCTGAGTTGGATAAAAACGTTACATTCTTGGATAATTTAATATAATTATAAAATCATTGGCTTGTTGTTACGCACGGCTCTTAGTTGTCGCCGTTGATGATGAAAATATTTTGTGTTCGGTAAAGAACTAAAACCGAAATCAGCGAGTAAAATTTATTAAGACTTTTTTTCCTCGTCATTATATGAAAATTATTTTTATTTATAGCTGGACGAAAGGTCATTGATTCTTCTTCTGTGGTGATTTACTTAATTCAGTTGTATTTTTTTTTTTGTAGCATTCGTTGGCCGTTTTTGGTTTTTAACTTCATTCAGGTTTTCGTCTCGCTCTTCGCTCGGTTTAAATTTAATATTAAAACAATAAAAACGTTAGGTTTACGTTAATGCTCTATTTGTACGCGGCTACACGCCAGCTTGTACTGTAATTTAATGCAATTATAAAATCATTGACTCGTTGCTTAACTTAAGCAATGCGGCTTTTTTGTGTGTTTCGGTGCGTACTAATGCTGGCTGGTTCTTTTGTCTCTCGGATATTTATTAGCGTTACCGTTTTGGCATTAGGATGAGGATTTCGGATGTAATATAATAATAAATGTAATAAATGGTCGTTGCGTCGCGGGCACCGAGGATTTTTAAGCGTTTTTAATGTCTTTTTAGGCGTAACTTTATTAAATATCAAAAGAAGTACGAATACAGCTATAAGAACGCATTAGAGAGGCATTAAAATATTGTTGAAGATTTCCGGTTCGTGTTACGCTCCTCACAAGATGACTTAGGACGTTGGACATTATTTTTTTAAAATTAATTTTTTAATTTTTTATTCAGATTATAATTTGTGGTAAATGTAAAGACGAAATAATTATTAGTTCGTT